TAAAAAAAAAAGCAGGCACAAGATTATGAAAGAAGAGTGACGCTACAGTACCAACAGGTGAAATGTACTGTTGTTTTCCCCCGCCTAACCCTCCTGATAGAGATAAAACCAGAAAAGTCCTTTGGACGCAATACATTAATAAAATTTTTACATTTTATCACCAGGAAGCAAAGAAGTTAAGTAACCATATGCTGACAAATTATTGAAGCTCACGTTTTAATTGATAGTCATAAAAGTAAAGAGAAAACGTATGATTACCAATAACAATCTACTGGAGACAAAACGTTGTTATAGGCAACTAACTACTAGTATGGGGGTCTGGATTGGGGTCATTCATTTCTGTATTCTTTAATGTTTTAGGCCATTTTTCTCTAATGATTATACTTTTTGCCAATTATTCTCTATTCTTTATATTCTAACAGTGCATTATTCTCTTTTCTTTTCTTTTTTATCCATTTTCTCTATTCTTTATATTTTTGCCCATTATTCTCTATTCCTCAACCCCTCTTCCACACCCTCTAGTATATATCACCATATATATAGCCTTCACAAATGAATAAAAGTCATCACGAGTAGGCCGTAAATGGCAAAATGATTGAATGCTAATCCCTATTTTGAATTGTAAACTTTCGGAAATTTGTTTTTCAATCAAATGATCTTAATAATAAGATATAATCAGATTATTGTCCTGAATGTTCGTGTAATAGTACTAATACTGACAGAAGGACCTAGGTCATCAGTTCTGATCAACTTAGATAACTAACTTTTCAGAACAGAACAAGTAAAGATCATGCATCTTTATTGTTCAGATTGATTATATCTTTTCCATTCGTCAGCATTATCTCCGATTTAAATACTATGTAGTAGAGAATTGATAAGAAGTAGTGGATTCGTAAACGATAATCAACGAGCGACTTTAGTCGCAAGTTGATTATCGTTTCCGAATCCACTACTTCTTATCAATTCTCTAGCTTAACCCATTTCTAGTAAAACGACTGTCTGTTTTATGTTTTGACAATGAATCAACGGAATTTCATAAAAATAATTTCGTATTTTGTCTTTTTTATTTTATAATAGCTGGAAATGATTATATCCACACGGTTCACGTCTATATTTAAGTTAACATACGTTTAATATAACTTAAATGGGTTGTTAGCTCCCCTTTTTATTACCAGATTTCATACTTGTATATTTATATTTCATTTAATGCTTTATCATTACAAAGTATTTAAATTATATAGATTTTGGTATTTATGGTTTATTCATGATGCTTTCCGAAATAAATAAAATAATTGCTTAAGGTCTTATTTGAACAATTATACATGAATTTTGTTTAAACTGTTTCCCTTTCATTAAGTTTAGATTATTTTTAACGTTATTACAGTTGGCATCCATCGTAAACCAGTCAATAAACTAGTATTATCTGTGGTACGCATTCTGAATCTCCAGCAGAATTGCTCTTGCTACAGATGTACAATGTATAATTATGTAAATTTTTAACTTTTACATTCAAGCTGTTCATAGCCGTGATCGTCTAGTCGTTGGTACCGAAAAACATAACTGTGACATTAACAGTGCCAATTTCAAACCTTGTACCCGAATTGAAATTTTTTCATTGTAATTTTTTTCTCAACAAAAATATTGTTTTACATGTAATCATAGAGGTATTATATACTTCATTTTCATTTAAAGGCGATGATTTTGTTTCTGGTTTTACAATCAAAGAAGTCGTTTTACGGTCGTAGCTTATATATCACACTTTATTCAAGTTAGAGTCCGTTCAATGTTGACGTGATGTATATTTGGACCATTTATAATCAAACAAAGAAAAAAATATTGATAGTACGATATCATTATAAGACTAAAACCATAAGTAAGTATTTGCTATGATAAAAAGGAAAAGTCCTTGTACGTTAAAAGTGACAAGTGTAATGGGCATATGAATGTTTATTTTATCAAGGAATTGCACTAATATATACAATTCCTTGATTCTCTAGTGTTTAGAACTAGTGTGTAATAGCCACAATCGTATAAAGACCCATCGGTTCATTATAACGATGTTGAAAATCGACCAATGTTCAAACCTGACATCGTGAATAAACTCTGTTTTAAGATATTTCCATACTGCTATATAACTATAATCAAGAACGTTCAAATGTAGAACATAATCTTCCTTAAAAAATAACGTCCAAAATAAAACAATTTAAATAAATTTGAAAAGAACATGAACAAATCCAGACATAGTATATATATTTTATTAGATAACAAAAGCGAATTATCTCTGAGACAGACATACAGTTTATTGACATGTATTGACAGTTGTGCGCTTTATGAGTGTTATTTAAATATTGATTTATGTCAGCAGTCGTGGTATAGTGGTATCATGCATAGACTAGAGACTCTACTGATTATGAAGAAAATACGCGCGAGTTCGAACCCTTCATGTGCCACTCGTTTTTGAGAGGATAAAAAATCGTAAGTTAAAAGTTTAAAGTTATAAAATAAGTTATCTTAAGTTAACGAAGTGGTCAGTGGATTCTTGAAAAATAATCTACTGTAAGAACAATAGACTGACGTCAGAGAAATGGGTTAATGATCTGATAACCGCTGTTCATACTTAACGACAGGGCCAGTTTTCTTATCAGATAAGTAGTAACCTCCCTTGTTAATGTGATGTTGTAATCAATCGTATTTTTACCATCTTTATATCGTATTTCATTGTATTATTTACATTTGTGATTCATTTGATATTTAAATATAATAATTTTATATCTTATTATAGATAAAAACAAGGAAATTTGAAAGTCTTTGATTCATTAATCACCTTTCAAATCATAAGTCAGGCGGTCTATTCTGTCTACATTAAGTAGTAAATACACCGGGGTATAAATGGCTATCAAAAAGGAAAGGAAAACATTGTATAACGTAAAACGAGAATTAAATAGAGCGAAATGCAGAAATTGAGTGCAAATGTTGATTCTTTTCTTGTTTAGAGAAATCAATGACGAAAAACAAAAATACTAATGATATTCTTTTTTGGTTTTTGAAAAATGAAAAATGAAAAACGAAAACACTTTTGTTTTTCATTTTGGTTTTTAAGAAATCAAAAACGAAAAATGAAAACACTTTCGTTTTTTGTTTTTTGTTTTTGATATTTCAAAACGAAAAACAAATGGACGCAAATATACACGGACCCACAAACATAGATTACCGTAAATATTCTAATGTACGTTTTGAGAAACAGAACCGTCTTTGATTTAAAGAAATACATATACTGTTTTATGAAAAGAAAGTTTAGTTAGTTTAATAAAAGTAATTACGAGTTATTCAAATTAATTAATGAAGTTCGTGCAATGCGTAAAAAGCATATTAAGACTGATGAAAGTGAATACTCTAGTTTAATTGATTCCTAGACATAACATAGTTTAAATAATGTATTAAGTAAATTTTTCACTGAGTACAATTATATGGGTATTAAGTATGTCAGATATTATGTTATTTGTGAAACCTAAGGAACAATATGTTAATTCTTAATGATTATGATGGCGATAAGCCGACATAACACATGTAAAATAAACATTATGAAAATGTATTTATAATTCTTTCATTCTTTCCCAGGTATCAACCAGACCCGGGTAACATATTTCTAAGGTTATCGTCACGTTTAAGGAATGTTTTTAGGGAAATGTAGTAAACTTCAGATATGATATCAAAAACGGACGGTTGAGATTGCTTTTGGGGGTTATGGCCCTAACCATTTAGGAAAAAGGGACCAAAAACAATACTTTTCTAATACTTTGTATAAATTGCTTATAATTTCTTGACCAATTTCAATGAGGTTCTTTAATATGCTGAATCTAACAATGTAGATAGATTTTGGATTTTGGGCCCCATTATTGATATGGTCCACATTGAGGTCCAAAGGGTCCAAAATTTAACTTTGTTTGATTTCATCTAAAATTTAATTCTTAGGGTTCTTTGATATGCTGATTCTAAACATGTATGTAGATTTTTGATTTTAGGCCCAGTTTTCAAGTTTGTCCAAATTGGGGTCCAAATTTAAACTTTTTTTTGTGTGTTTGATTTAAAAAAAAATGAATATTTGGGGTTCTTTGATTATGCTGAATCTAACCGTGTATTAAGATTTTGGATTTTGAGCCCCGTTATCAAATTGGTCCACAGTGAGGTCCAAACGGTCAAAAATTAAACTTTGTTTGATTTCATCAAAAATTTAATTCTTAGGGTTCTTTGGTATGCTGATTCTAACCATGTATTTAGATTTTGGATATTGGACCATAATAGATAAATGTCTTATTTCAAATTTTTAAGTTCTTAGACCACATTCATTCTGTGTCGGAAACTACGCTATGTCAAATATTTAATCACAATTCAAATTCAGAGCTGTATTGCACAATTAATAGAAATTGTAAGTAGAGTTATTGTTCAATATAGATATAGCATCAAAACTAATTTTAGAGAAGAAATTATGTATAGATATAGTTAGAAATTTACTGTTCATTATTAGAAATTTTGAAAAATAATAGAGGTAAGTTTTATAGACTTTTTAAAGACATTGTATTAATGAGGAATGATAATTTGGAAATTGTTTTTTTTCATTTTTTGGGAAAATGTTTTAAAGAACTTCGTGGAAGGTTTGTTTGTAATTCTGTATAAGTTAGTTTTCAGAATGCTATATATATTTTTTTCATGAAGCGAAACCCTTTAAAAACTTAGTTAATATTGTCCAATAATAAATTAATTAATTAAATTCTTGGTGTATCAAGCTTGAATGTAGTGTCCATACTTGCCCTAAATGTTCAGGATTCGACCTCTGCGGTCGTATCAAGCTGCGTCCTGCGGAGCATTTTATTAAAATAAGTCAAACACAATTCTTCAGACCCTTCAGGCGAAAATTATGACAGATTGCATATATGATAAGCTGTAATCGATGCACACACTGCACATTATTAATGTCTCATGTTTTTGCTATGCACTTTTACCTTTAGTAACTGTTTACTGTGTACTACTGTTTATGTAATTTTAATCAAGCGATAATTCTTATGCAAAACGTAAGTACATGTATTAACAAATGTCAATATGGCGTTTTCATTTGTTTTCTATTATTCAACTGAAAGAAAGTTCAAAATGTTTTTGGTTACTCCATTGTGAAAATTATTTAAGCTTTAGTGAATACCTTGTTGTACTTTAAGAGTCAGTCCAAGAAATAAGTAGAAGCAGGTCTACTTCGAAAAAATATCACACAAAACGAAGTACCTATGTAATTACATGTCAGGAAGTTTTATTTTGAATTGAAGTTCTTGTTTTCTTTGGACATATTCATAGTTATGTCATGGTTTCAAGTGTTTGCCTATGAAACTATCTGTTCTACACACCAAAAATATGTTTCAGGGGAGGGGGCAGCCTGCACTACAACTTCCATTGTTTACCAACATGGCGCGTTTGATACGAGGAAAAACAGTTAACAATGTGCATAGGCATTTCATAGACTTCATTTTTTGTTTAACTAATAATTGCATTTATAAGGATAAGGAGATGTGGTTTGATTGCCAATGAGAAAACAATCATCCTGAAACAAATAGCCAAGAATGAGTATACAAACAAGTATCGGGCACTGTACTGATTATAAAGGGGAACAAAACAGTATACAAACAAGTTTCGGGCACTGTACTGCTTATAAAAGAGAACAAAACAGTATACAAAAAAGTATCGGGCACTGTACTGCTTATAAAGGGGAACAAAACAGTATACAAACAAGTTTCGGGCACTGTACTGCTTATAAAAGAGAACGAAACAGTATACAAACAAGTTTCGGGAACTGTACTGCTTATAAAAGAGAACAAAACAGTATACAAAAAAGTATCGGGCACTGTAATGCTTATAAAAGGGAACAAAACAGTATACAAACAAGTTTCGGGCACTGTACTGCTTATAAAAGGGATCAAAACAGTATATAAACAAATATCGGGCACTGTACTGCTTATAAAGGGGAACAAAACAGTATACAAACAAATAACGGGCACTGTACTGCTTATAAAGGGAAACAAAACAGAGTACAAACAAGCATCGGGCACGGTACTGCTTATAAAAGGGAACAAAACAGTATATAAACAAATATCGGGCACTGTACTGCTTATAAAGGGGAACAAAACAGTATACAAACAAATAACGGGCACTGTACTGCTTATAAAGGGAAACAAAACAGAGTACAAACAAGCATCGGGCACGGTACTGCTTATAAAAGGGAACAAAACAGTATACAAACAAGTATCGGGCACTGTACTGCTTATAAAAGGGATCAAAACAGTATACAAACAAATATCGGGCACTGCACTGCTTATAAAGGGAAACAAAACAGTATACAAACAAGTATCGGGCACGGTACTGCTTATAAAAGGGAACAAAACAGTATACAAACAAGTATCGGGCACTGTACTGCTTATAAAAGGGAAAAAACAGTATACAAACAAGTATCGGGCACTGTACTGCTTATAAAGGGGAAGAAAACCGATACCGTATAAAAAGCTGTAAAAGGCTCTGTATGACGAAATGTGAAACAATTCAAAAGAGAAACCAAAAGACCAGCGTCTCTTTTCACAAAAAATGTTACGATTACAATTGATCGTAAGTTATACTGAAATGTTCTTGATTTACGAGTATTTTTACTCGTAAGATTTTTTGTGAAAAGAGCCCTTGAGTTATGATAATAGCAACAACCGAAAAACAAATAAGGCCTACAACAATCAACGACGTCCACTGACTTACTCGTTTGTGTCTTGGGGCAGGCGCATAGAGACATTAGCATTTAAAATTTTTAAAAAGCACACACCATTTTTTCAGGGGATAGAACATTGATCAATCTAAGCACATTTTTTGAAAATTTTGTCCTACTTTTCTATTGTGAATATATCATGGATTTGGGATTTCTGTAATACTCCCAAAGTCTGCATTGCATGATTTGATTTGCTCATTCGTGTGATAGATTAAAGTTCAAATCGTGCACACTTCTTATTAAGCATAACTTTGATCATTTGGATACCAGTTTTTAATGAGCAAAACGATCAGAAAAATAGAAATGATGCAACAATACAACATTGTAACATGAATGGTTAATTTTCCTTTGATCTTCCAGTGAGTTAACTTCTGTTATTTTTAGAGGAGTGCGTTAACGGAATGATTTTATTAGTTATTGCACTCTCCAATCCCGCCGTGTGTCGCTTGCCATATGAAAAGCAAAGAATGGGAGGAGCTTTGACCAGTGCGCTAACTTCTTTAAACGGCTTGATGAAAGTATCACGGCAACAATTCATTTACATCTACATCTATCATTAAATTAAATCCTACTAAAAATCCGATCCATGAGTTCATTTTATGAAAATAAGAGACGTTTTGTCAAAGAAAGCGCCACTTTTTGATCGACATATTTAATTCATGAAAAGTAAAGTTTAACCTTTGACATGTGTAATCGCCCATTAATGTTACAAATCATCTACTCAAAGTTTTACGTATTCGCGGCGATTTATATTCGCGTTATTTTTCTTCTTGCGAAAGTCGCGAAAATAAATCGCACGCGAAAATTAGTTGGTTTACAGTATATACTTTAACCTGATACAGGTCGAACGATTGGACGGACGCATATACCATGAAACCTAATGTCCCCTGCTATCGTATATAGGACATAAAACCAGTATAAGCAAATCTTCAACATTTCATTTGCTCCCTTTCTTTTCGTCTGTAGAAAACAAGTTATTCAAAATTCTTAATGTTCATTAAAATGAATGTTCACTGTGGTACCCGTCGAGTTTAAAATATCTGATTGTTTCACGGATTGTTAATTGCCATAACTACAAAAAGTATATAAATGTATGTCAAAGTAGAAATGCATTAGATTAACCAAATGACAAAACAAAACAAGAACGATGATTTGAAAATATGATAAGTAAATTAGCCATACCACTAGTTAGTAGCTAATGTGGTATGGGTAACAGGTTTTCTTAACCTGTAAATTTAAGCAACAGTAGTTTTTTTTTTATGTCATTAATGTATTAAGAAGATACAAATCAAGGTAACACACAATTGGAAAATCTGAGGCAATAACACGAACTTCAAATGGAGCGCGACCAGATGTATCGACAGGGTAAGAATCTCCTGTTATGCCTGCATCACCAATCATGCGATTGCACACTAAGTCAACATGTCACAAGCGGAAATGAACGCAATCTTAAAATTTACAAATCGGACATGTGTTTAGACACAGATACATCGTATCGGTCAACTACATGTAATTCATGATCATGATAAAAGACTTTTCTTATTCCACAAATTTTTTTTTTAAAGATCACTTTTATTTGCTTTTAATGAGGAATAAAATACTGATAATTCAACAAAAATTCTTAAACTATCTTACTGCATCAATAATACACTACCTTGCAAATTCAAAGGATAATAATTTAGACCTGTGAATATTTTGTGTTATTGTAATGCATCTTATTTCATTCGTCTTCTTACAATTTTGTGATGCATATTGCATACATTTGTAAATATATTGCATATTTTTTTATATAGCCTAGTTTGTCGAGTGGTCTAGGGCGCTGGGCACGGTGCAGGCGATGTTGCCACGATGTCCCAGATGCATAGGTTCGAATCCTGCTGAGGGAAGAACTAAAATTTGCTAACGAAAATTATAATATCTAACATTGTTGGCTAAATCTGAAACGAAGTATATATACATTATGTTGTTAGCCCTGTATAACCACAGGTTACCCGATGGAGAACGTCAGTCGTAAAGTTGTCACATATTCAGATGTCTATATATATATATATGCATGGTCGTAAAATATCATCACGATATATGTTTGTATGAGGAAACATTTTCCTAGTGCACTGCGTTTTCAATTGCCACCAGGATAATTCATAATGACAATGAATAGGGACATATCCATTGACGAAAGGGATTATCATTATCTTACAAACTTAGAATATTGTTAAGTGCTCAAGGCTCGAATGATCTCTTAGTTGGTCCTTTCATAGTTTGTGAAATGTTTATAATTAATGTATGACTCTCATTTTGGACATTTAATTCAGGGAATAGTCTTGTTGATACTAGAACGACTTTCTTATAATTTGGGGAATTTTAATAAATTGTGTTTTAGACATTAGATGACAAAACAGCACGAAGAGGATCCCTAATTGTGAGTATGAATGTAAATTATGTAATATTTTAGTGAGGAATTATGTTTTGTTTATTTACAGTTCAAATTAATAAATTAAAAAACTGAGTTACAACTAATTTTTTTTCCAGAGCCAATATTTCATTCCAGCTCTTAAATAAAATCCTACGTAATTAACTAAATTTTAAATGTTTAAATTAATGCATTTTTTTATGAAATCCAAAATTTATTTTAATTTCTTGTTTTGTTTTTTTCTGAATATTTGAAATGAGTATTCTTACCAACTGTGGATACAGTAGTCTGAGTTTTGATAAACGTCTTAGCGAAAGATTAAGATTAATTAGATTTTAAAAGTTTTGTTCTTCTGTTTTGTATTACTTTGATATTGTTTATTTTTTGTAATTTATAAGTTATAAATATTCACATGACATTAATGGTACCAATTTAAACGCATCTTATTTTGATATTTTTTTTCGATATTTAACTTTTAGTCATTTTCAATCATATATCCTTTCAAATGATAAATGTGCTTCGGGGCAGTTGTAACTCGTTTATAGAAATTCTTTGTTTTGATCTGTAAGTAGGCATTGACAATAGGATAATCCCTTACTACGAACATGATTTAGATTTATTCTTCATAATTATGGGACATCAAATCATACAATTTCATTGGCCGAGAGCACTTTGCTATATCAACATAGCAAAGGGCTCTGGACAAATGACATTGTAGGATTGGATGTGTCTCAATTGTAAAGAATGAATGTACATCATGATCTTTGTAAGGGATTGTTCAGTTCAACACAAAGAAATTCTATAAATGAGTTACAACTGCCCGAAGCCATTTATCAGCTTGAATGGATTAAAAGTTTAATGGTTAAACAAACAAAAATCAAAATTGTTGAAGTTTACTGGATTTGATTTTTGAATATTAATAACTTCAAAATTACTTTAAAAAAATAAACATAATCAAAGTAATTCACGAAAAAAAAAAAAAAAAATCAAAGCCCTTTAAACTATATAAAACTCAAATCTTTAAGCTAATCCGCTTACAAAATTTCAAATTACTAGATCTGCGATTGGTAAGAATACTATTTACATATTGGAAGTTAAATGAAGTTTAACCTTTGAATTTCATTTTCAGGCATTTTATTTGAACATTTTTATTTTAGTTAATTACCTTACTTTAATGCAACCGTATTTGATGTAAAGAGTTGGAATCAAATATTGGCTGTGAAATAAACTGTAGTTGTAACTAAAATTTAAAATTTATTGTTTTGAACCAAAATAAAGTAAAAGACACTTCCTCGCCGATGTATTACATGAATGACATTCATACACACAATGAGTAAACTTAAACAATTCCTACCATTTCATAGTATAAGTTGTGTCATCTAATGCCGAAAACACAATTTATCAAAGTTTTCCATATTATAAGATAGTCCCTAAATTACCAAAACTTTTCCATAAATAAAATGCCTAAAAAGAAGTTATACATTAATTAAAAATATTGCACTGACAATTAAAAGTGTTAAAATAAAATAGTTTTTATATGAAATTCAAAAGTTAATTTAATTTCCTGCTTTAATTGTATCGTTATATAGGAAATAACGATTCTTACTAACTGCAAATACAGTCACTCAGTATTGGAAAGCATATTAGCTAAAGATCTGCGTAACATTCAATATTGAAACTTTTTTTTCTTTTCTTCTTTTTTTGCTTTTTTTGTGTAATTTTGAAGTTCTATATATTCACATAACATTAACGGTAACACTTTTACTGCACCACTAAACTTCAAACTTATTTTTATTATTTTTTTGTTTGATTCACAATTCAACTTTGCATCAATTATCTTTTCAACCTGTCTTGATAAATGTGCTTCTGGGCAGTTATAACTCATTTGTAGAAATTCTTTGTTTTGACGTGTAAGTAGGCCTAAACAATAGAATAACCCCTTACAAAGAACATGATTTACATTCTTTCCTCACTACTAAGGAACATCAAATCCTACAATTTCATTGGTCGAGAGAACTTTGCTATATTCTAATAAAGTTGACAAAAATAGACTTATACCACCAACATTATCAGACCAAACCTGTTATTGAATATAGGTCAACACATAATATACATATATACGTGAATGTTGTCTTCGTATCAGTTCAGTTTGTTCTTCGCGCCAAACTGTTGAGTCAGTCGATTTCCAACTGAAACACAGTTTGTTCTTATGTTGTGATGTTACACCAATGTCCTAAGTTAGGTAATGGTTGAACGCAAACAAACATATTTCATTCAGGTTTATGTGCCTGTCTCATAATGAGAGCATGTATTAGAAATTCAAATGTTATCGTTGGTTGATATCTGTTGTATTTGTTTTTCGTTTATTGTTTTGTGTAATACTCTACTATTCTAATTTTTCAATTTTAGTGAAGGTTTTGGAAAATGGGGTCGATTCCATTTTTGTTCTCATGGTACATCATGATGACCATAGCTGCAAATATCCCTGTCAATGGTAAGTGAGTTAATGAAAACAACACGCTTAAATTTTGTCTGTTCAAAGCGCCTTTCTGGATTGATCTTCAGCAGGAACGCTCAAGTAAAAACATTTAAAAACCAGGGATGCATAAAAACGTAAAAGCGTTAGGAGCAATATGACCTAAAGGAACATAAAAGGATTAGCAAATTCATCTACGATGAACCTTGCCTGAGGGAGTTGAAAGTTTAGTTTTGTTAAACTTTTGATTTTTAGAATATTAAGTTATAAATCATGTCCGTACCGAAGCACTGACTACTCGACTGACAATATTCGCGGTCAGAAATCTCTTTTTGGCAAGAAAACTGTCCAAATTGTTAAGGAAAAAGTTAAACAAATTTTCATACAAACATATGTCATATAGGAAATAAATTAAATGTTACCACTTATACGTTTTTCTTTTATCAATATTAAGATTTCAATGAATTGCTACAAAGAATTCGTAAGACTTCAGTGACATAATTGTTGTAAAAGAGGGACGAAAGATACCAGAGGGACAGTCAAACTCACAGATCGAAAACAACGCCATGGCCAAAAATAAAAAGACAAACAGTCAAATAATAGTACAGATAACACAACATTGAAAACTAAAGACTAAGCAACACGAACCCTAACCAAAACCTGGGGGTGATCTCAGGTGCTCCGGAAGGGTAAGCAGATCCTGCTCCACATGTGGCACCCGTCGTGTTGCTTATGTTATTACAAATCCAGTAAATGGTCTAATTCGGTAGGTCACATTCGTGAAAAGGGAAGGGTATTGTAGTTACGACATAAGGAACATATATGATATCATCAAGTCAACAAAATTTTAAAATAGCATTTAGAAATTAAAGCATTTTATAAACCAGAAATTAATCACACTAAGATTTGTTTTCTATTTGGCTATTCTGTATTGTATGTGATTGAAATTGAATAAACATGAACGTACATATATCACTATGGCGGTACATAACATCCGTTTATCAAAAGATGCATGGTTGACAGATTGTCCTGAGATGATGCATGAATAATACTATAATAGTTTGGTTCCTTTATTGTAATATTGGGGATGAATTAAATATAAAAGGACAGCAGAAAAACATTACCTAGAATTATATGAATTTGTTTATTTGTGTACATTAAAGGGTCATTAGCTGTCAAATGGTTATCCCTTGTTTCACTTTCAATGTTGACATTCTTTTCCTTTTAATAGCTGAACAAGCCTAGGTTATGCGTAACCTATCTCATGTTAAGGGGTTAAATTGAAGGTCACATGAATACGGATTCAATGAGGTCGAACTATCACTTGCAAGTGAATAATTCATCAGCGATTTTTATTAGATTATTTTGACATAAAAGAACCAAACTGGCTGCTAAAAGCGAATTATTATTTACTATTTCATTAATGATTGAACAAATACAAAATCAAATTTTAATTTATTTTATATCTCGCTTGCAAGTCAATAATTCTACTCATTTGAATCCATATGCATGAAACATTTTAATTTGACCTTTGGTGGAAATAGTGCGAATGTGTTCATCATGTGGTTCATTCATTGGGAAAAAAAAAGAATGTCAACAATAAAAAGTGAAACAAGGGATCCACCAGGAATGACCGTTATTTTTACTGATCCGGCCAACAAAAAATCATTCTTATACAGGTGAAACGATGATTTCATATATTTTAAACATATAAAATGAAATCAAACCGACCTAGAAAAATCCGATTGCGCGTGCAATCTATTTACATTTATTTTTATATCTGGTTGTATGACCGTCGGCAGTCTTTGGAGGTCATCTGGCGTCTGGTCTAAAATACGTACGAAATGCTGATGCATTGTAGAGAGCCTATGCATGGTTAATTGTTTTTTTTTTGTAATTTGGATATACGTTTAAGAATGCTATAAATAAAAGTATAAGAATTTTGGTCCAATCGGTGAACCTGAATTTGACAGCTAATACCCCTTTTAGGTCTCTTTTTACACAAGTGAAAAAGACATAAGAACTAGTTTGTCCATATCTAAATCGTTATTTGTCTAGACAGGAAGAGGTATGGGTTCAAGGAGACGACTACTTAACATCATCAAATAGACATTAGTGTTAAAAGAAAAACATATATGTTAAAAGAGCGGTGGAAGGCTATCTCACGAGTACAAAATTCGAAACTACAAAATAAAAGCACAAACACCTCAAGCACAGGGATACACATACTATATTTACAACGTACGTGTAATAGAGACATACTCCTGAATTAAAAAATAATATCTTGTCAACAATCTATCATAGAACAGACATAAACACTATTGTCCATGTGACAGTATTATTGTTATGTCATTGTCCTTGCCATAAAACTTGTTTTGGTTATGAATTGGTGTTTTATTTTTGGTTATGACTTGAAGTTAGTATGACTGGCGATGCATGCATACCAGAATATAAGTAAGTCGATACCAAGATGGAAATAAAAAACACATCTGTCGAAGAAAGATTAACAACACCCTGGTCAGAAGCAAAAGGCGGGAAAAAAACAACAGTACTCAAGACACGTCATAAAAGCCTGAAGATAAAGCAACAACAAAAAATTAAAAAAAAGAGATTGGAATGATCTCAGGTGTTTTGGAAGAGTAGACAGTACCTGTTCTACTAGTTTAATCCGTCTCGCTGCTTATTTTGCAAAAAAAAGGAAAAATCCGATGATAAGTCGCTTTATGTGATGTCACAGCCAGGAAATGTGACTAAGACAAATAAAATATATCGTTGGTCATCAGTGACTGAGATATTCCATAACTTTCAAGTAAATCATGGTAGCGTCCAAACGGTTTTGGAAGAGATCACTTCGACTTTATCACTAAGAATTATTTGTTCAATAGCTTCCATGTAACACCAACCCTTTATCGTTGAAAATAGAGAAGGATTCGCAAGCACTGAAATAACTTATCAACTTAAAGGTGAATGCTCAATATGAAGGTGGCGTTATAATGTTGCTACATAAAATTTGAAAGTACGCAGTGGCGAAATTGAAAGGATCGCTTTTGTCGTTACGATTAGTTCTTAATCTACTCTCCCTATCAATTTTAAGCATGATTCCGACTGGTTTTGTTTCTATGTTTGTCTCTTTATGTCATGAAAAAGAGCATGCACAAAGTTTATCCTTTCGGATCCGCTAAGAGGGTATATTAAAACGGGAAAAGGAGAACACATTTGAGAAAATATTCTAAACTTGAATTTGTTAAGTAGAAAAAAAGAGAACTTAACGTGTTAAATTGCTTTGTATTTTAAGGCTATAGAAATAACCGTCACCAGCCGTATGAAAAGAAAAGATCGAGCAGACCAAACATTGTGCTTATCTTGGCAGACGATCAAGGTGTGTATTTTTTGGATAAATGTATGTCACAGATGTCCGAACATTTAACTTTATTAAATATGTAACTTACAAGGATGTTTCTTTCAAAACAATGTTGCGAAATTATTGTTGTGTTCCCTTATCATAACCTACAAAGAAAACAAACAAATAGGGATGCATATTGTAATTTGTTTGTTAATGACTATGGAGACAAGTGGGGGGGGGGGGGGGGTCATTAAGATGGCATCTCAAAACACCAATAAGGCCCAGAGTCGAAAAGACTGTGAATATATTAAACAGAAACTATCAAAAACTTGCCATCAACAACAAATTCTACAGATGACAAAAAAAAATTAAGAAATGATATGAGTTTGCCATTGACTACTTGCTTGTCTATTCACGTGAATACCTTTCCCGGTCGAGTTTCCTATGCTCTCTTATGTTTACCAGAACTACTATGCAATTGCAGACGAGTTTTGTAGCCCGTTGAGTTTGACCCTGAGTACTTTGAGGGCACGTATTCATACAAATCATCGATAACCGATTGTTAAGCATGATCAGTTTACCCGATACCTGTACATGTAGTGGATAATCCTACAAGAATACTGGAAAGTGAGTTTTTATAACTACGAGGTTCATCCCGTTGCAATAATTTTAAAAACATCACATCACTGACTTTCCGGTCTACCCACGTTTATTCTTTATAACCCCTGAGAATTCTTGTTTTTGCTTTAAAGTGACATTTATCTGATGACAGGTTGGAATGATGTAGGCTGGAATAATCCTGAGGTTATAACACCACATCTCAACTGGTTAGCAAGACACGGCGTTATTCTAAATAACTCATATGTTCAACCTTTGTGCACACCGTATGTATTATTTTCACCAATTTTACCATTAAGTCTTTATTATTTAAATTATGTATATCTTAACCATTTGTGTTAACTGCAAACAACGATTTGTAGTTCAATTTCACACAAGCCAGTGTTGGGTAGTTTTTAATACTAGTATTCTACATTTGGTCAAAATAAGCTGTCCGGACAAAATATATTGAACATATATGTAAATATAAAAAAAAACTTTAATGTGCAAGGGAATGATACTTCTATTAATAAAAATAAATGTCCGGAACCACCACTATCTACGGAAGGTTACGAATACAAATAAAAATGAATTGTTTTGCAAATATGTGTGTGTTTTGTGGCCTATAACGTGGAAAACTTTTATCGAGGAGATCCTAATCAAGCAAAAGCAGTACTTCGTTTGAAGAATGGCTACCATCAATTGTAGCTTTGACGGTTCAAAATGTAGTTATACTGGCCGACGCACAACAGAGCTTACAGTGACACGATAATTTGCTACTGGGAAGAAGGAGTATCCCTGTCAACAACTACTACACGAGAGTTAATTAATTACCAAAAAGATCAGAAAAACGTACATTTCTTGTTTAGTTTGAGATATTATGTCAAAAAATTACATTTTGTAACAATGTTATTTCGAATGGAGTTGATTTATTAATATCTAAAAACAATCTTCATTTTTGCAGTTTGTTTAATAACGATGTTGTTTATAGATATAAGAAGATTTGGTATGAGTGCCAATGAGACAACTCTCCATCCAAGTCAAAATTTATAAAAGTAAACCATTATAGGTCACAGTACGGTCTTCAACACGGAGCTTTGGCTCACACCGAACAGTAAGCTATAAAGGGCCCCAAAAAATTACTAGTGTAAAACCATTCAAACGGGAAAACCAACGGTATAATCTATATAAAAAACGAGAAACGAGAAACACTAATGAACCACATCAACAAACGACAACTACTGAACATTAGATTCCTGACTTAGGACAGGTGCAAACAAATGCAGCGGGTTTAAATGTTTCAATGGTACCAAACCTTCACCCTTTTTCTGAAACAATAGTGTAAAATCACAACATAGAAAGACACACTATAAAATATCAACTGAAATAGCTTAACTCAATCAAAGGACATATTAACACCATTGAACATACACTGAACAAATAAATTTGACCTATGACACAATGTAAATACAAAATAAATAAACTAAGGGAAGAATAATAAAAGTAACATGTTATATCGGTAAGAAATGTTAAACAATTAAAGAAAAACAATATGCTTGAACAAAAATACCATCCATTTGCAATAAATTTAAACACAGGTAAATGAAAATAATTTTGTTGTTAGGTATACCTGTACAGTACCAATAGAGAAAGGAAATATTTTTACAAAATAAATAATTTTGAATACAAAATAAATAAACTAAGGGAAGAATAATAAAAGTAACATGTTATATCGGTAAGAAATGTTAAACAATTTAAGAAAAACAATATGCTCGAACAAAAATACCATCCATTTGCAATAACTTTAAACACAGGTAAATGAAAATAATTTTGTTGTTAGGTATACGTGTACAGTACCAATAGAGAAAGGAAATATTATTACAAAATAAATAATTTTGATGTTCATAGTACGAAGTGAAAATTTATAGTTATACCAAACACTTATCAAAGCTGGTATATAGACCAGATATAACCCCGAATAACATTAAATAACAAAAAAGCAATACAATTAGTATCAACAGGTCAAATAAACAAGAAAGTACGATTTGAGAGTACTCGCAGTTACTGACAGCTAGTTAAAAGCCAAAACAATTAATAATAAAAAATCATGCATCAGAGACTAAAATCAACTAAAACACATCCCAGGGATTTAGTATTTTAACGTCATGGACAGTCAAAGAAGACATGACTAGTGCAATGCCAAAAATAAATGTATCGACAGACAGTAGGATAGTTAGGAGTTTAACCTCTTTATAGATCTAAACGAACGTGGGTGTGTCTTTATACATCCCACTTGAAAAAAATACAAATTTAGTTATGTTTTAATTTGCTGATGACAAAATCGATATTAGTGCCAATGTAAACTATATTCAAAGATCTAATTACAACATTGGTAAGATAACCTTTACTAATAAGCCTGTTTAAAGGTTCGATGAGTTTACACGGATCACATAGTGATTTCCGCGCTTTAAGTACAATGTTACCGTAAAATTTAGGATGTGAAATACCGTTTTTAATCAGTTTTCTACAAGTACAGTCAATTTTACTAATCAAATCTTTGTATCTATGAAAGAACTTAACAAAAGTTTTACGTAATTTATGGTAACGAAATCCTTGATTTAATAATTTACCAGTGATGCATTGATTACGTTCGTTAAAATCTATGACATCACTACACACACGGGCATAACGAACGAGTTGGGATATATATACACCGTATGATGGAGCCAAAGGAACATCGCCGTCTAAAAAAGGAAAATTAACAATAGGGAATGAAAAATCGTCTCTTTTGTCGTAAATTTTCGTATGGAGTTTCCCTTTAGAGATTGAAATGTCCAAATCCAGAAAAGGACAACTACTGCTGTTTATGTTAGATTTAGTTAAAGTAAGTTCTATTGGGTAAATTTCGGTAGTATATTTAGAGAACTCTGGATTATTTAACGAAAAAATATCATCTAGATAACGGAAGGTATTGTTGAATGTATCAACCAAATGTAACAATGACGTGTCTTTACTGAGTTTGGTCATAAACTGAGATTCATAGCAATATAGGAATAAATCTGCTATTAAAGGGGCGCAGTTAGTGCCCATAGGAATACCTACTACCTGTCGATACATTCTATCGCCGAAACGTACATATATGTTGTCCAGGAAAAAATTTAAAGCTTCAATCATATCTTCACATTTCCAGTAAGTGTATCTAGCATGCTTTCCTTTTTCGTTACAGAAAAAGGCTTTAAACGAGTTACAGCAAATAAATTTGTGATGCGATTTTTCAAAAGACCATTTAATTAAATATGAAAACTTTTTCTTGATAAGATTGTGTGGAAGTGTAGTATAGAGAGTAGAAAAATCATAACTGTCAGAATTAAAAGGACCATCAAAAGCATGTATTTTATCTAAAACCTCTAAAGAATTTTTAACACTCCAAAAATAATTAATACCATTTTTTTCATAAGCTTTACACATTTGTCTTAATTACCCCTCAATATGAGAGCAATACTAACACAAATAAAAATATCATTATACTTATTTAGGTAGTAATATATTACAGGTCACGTGCAGCAATATTAACAGGAAAATATCCTCATAGATTGGGTCTCCAGGTATATTTATGGTATTTTACTAGTCACTATTGATATTATTTTAAATTGTTCACTGTTATATCCAATTATACTTCAATTTTCTAATTAAGTGCCTTTTCTGTAATGATTTTATTTAAATATATTTTTCACCGTGTCATTTTATCCTCTATTGATCGGAAGGCATTTATCATCTGAGCTAGTATCATTCGTTACATGGTGAAAAGTTGATGTTAAGTATATGTCAATAAGACAGCAACAGAAAACCCAACTTACTACAGAACATGAACTCCAAAAGGAGCAAAACCAGGTGCGTCGATAGGGTAAGCGTCTTCTGTTATACGTGCATCAACCACCATCCGAATCCACACTCAGTCAAAATGTTAAAGTCAGGAATAGGAAACAATCAGTAAAATTACAGATTAGACGACTGTTCAGGTATCTAAAGACTGCGAAACCTGTAACTAGTGGCTTGAAACATATATCGTATCGGTCAACATATTCGTGATGGGGACCTTAGAACTTATGTAGTGTCAATTTCAGTTGTACTTCTTCGTAACTCTGTTGGCGCAGTTTTTGTGTTATGAGCACACATATGATTGACAAACAGACAAAAACGGGTTTGAAAATAATCAAAATCGAAGAAACTCCAAACGGATTGAGATCAAGTGCTGTGTCTCGGTTTTTCTGCTGGTGAACATGCATCAACCGTCACATGATTCAAGTTGAATGTGACAAAACCAAAATCATGGTCAAATCGATTATTTTGGCAAATCGACATAAATATACCTATGTGGTCTATGAGAGAATTCACATGTCAAGATTGGGTTGCGAGACCGACGCAATAAACAGAACAAGCTGTGGCATATCTTATAAACCAAGATACACAAAGTTCCATAGGCTAGGGTAGATTATATGCTGCTACTAAAAAATGGGAAGTTAACATGAGAAAAACTGAAATTATCGAGTTTCACACATAGAACAGGGTTTTCAGATATACTTAGGTAATAATCTGAAAAAAAAAAGATCCAGTTATGAAGCAGGCCTTTTTTTCTTTTTAGAATCAGAAACCCGCCAAAGCTTTTTAGTTGATCCATGCAAATTAAAAAGAAAGCGTTGATATTTGCTGGTGTCAACTGACTTCTCTTTAAGCTTGTGTTTATCGTCAAGTACATGTCTTTACATGTTAGGTTTTGTTAAACCATTTGTTTTTGTCATAATTCAACTACTCTGTATCTATTTTTATTAATAAAAACGCATGTTCATTCTGTTGTAAAACACGACTATTTGCAGTGGTCTGTAATTGGAGAAAATCAACAAAAGTTTGTACCACGAAAAACACCAATGCTCGCCGAAAAATTACGACAAAGAGGCTACAGAACACATATAACAGGAAAGTATGTTGCATTTCTATTTCTATACAAGAGAGGCGAACGATACCAAAGAGACATTCAAACACACAAATCGAACAAAAACTGACAACGCAATGGCAAAAGAGAAAAAGACCAAAAGACAATCAAGAGTACACAAAACACAACATAGAAAACAAAAGACTGAGCAACACGAACCCCACCAAAAACCTGGGGTGATCTCAGGTGCTCCGGAAGGATAAGCAGAAAAAGTATAGGATAAATCTAACTTAGTTATTCATTGAAGAAAATTCATCAATGTATTACTAATAATTACTTGAAAAATATTTCACAAGGGATATTTCAGGTATATTTATATACATTCAGAGAGAGTAGAAAAGACAATTTTAAGTTCACAACGAGGATACATTTGTTTAATTATGAGTCAAGAATTAAAAAAATGTTATTACCCAGGAGGCGTTCAAAGACCATGAATCAAAGAAAGACGGACAACACCATGACCATAAAAAAAACAGGATCAAAACAAACAACAAAACACAAAAAAGCATACAGAAAACCAAAAATTAATTAGCAACATGAACCCAACCAAACTAGAGGAGACATCAGACACTCTGAAAAAGAATTATGTTTACCAGTAAATATCGATTGAGTTGTCAGTGCTTTTAGGAATAACACGTGTCTTTTCTTTGTAATAAATTGAGAATTGTGGATTTTCGATATTCAGCTTTAGTCATTCAATGTCTTAATTCTGTACTGTTTGTGTAATAAATATAGATTTGTTCAATCTGATTATAACACTACAATTGATAATAACATAAACGATACTAATTTTACCGTACCAAATGCGTATTTGGACAACAAATGTCTCTTCAGTGATGCTCGAAGCCAAAATATTTAAAAAAAAATCAACTCTTGCGAACGTTGAAGAGCTGGTAAAAGAAGGACCTAAAGTATAGCCAAATCCATACAAATGGCAAATCTTCACCGTATTCTTATATCAAATCTGTTAAACTATTAGTACTTTGCAATTGACATAATTTAGTGACAATGATATAGTATATGCGTCAATACCTGATCTGGCAAATTAAATAAAAGTTTTTCTATTCATTTCTAGCCCAGCTACGTCAAACTCAAAGCCAGTATTTTAGAAGAGTCGATTATAACAAAAACAACAACAACAACAAACAACAAATACTTTATTTGTGTACTTTAAAGCATTTGATATAAAACACACTATAATAATAACAGATCAATTCATAAAAGAAACACTCTTAAAAGAGTTATGAGAGACTATAAAACACACATCAAAAATACATTTATATTACATATATAACATATATCAATATATCTTAGCATAAAACACCATAATATTAAAAAGCAATTCTTTTGTAATCATAATCAGAAGATCAAAAACAAAACACAATATACAGTTATTACGAGTATGAAATACACTACTCATAAAAAGTACTTCACGGCAGATTTTGGCTGTAAAATAGCACACTCTGTCGTCATGAAACATAAGTAAAAACGTTTCCTCATTACAATTCCATACGTTCAACAGAAATTTAATCAAATTTTTTTTAACCAACCAACTGATGAATAATTTCATAAATACTTAATTTTGTTTAGAAAATTTCGTATTCCCTTATATTTTAGGTGGCATCTAGGACATTGTAGTGATGATTTAACACCAACGTCTAGAGGTTTTGATTCTTTCTTTGGAATACTCAGAGGTTGGTCGGATCATTTCACAAGAATTCTAGGTAATATTATACGTAGTTGTGAAACTTCCACAAACATTCTTTAATATTTATCCAGACAAGAAACAAATTGTTATACGGATGAAAAAGAGAGGAGAAAGATACCAAAGGGGCATCCACCTAATAAGTCGAAAATAAACTGACAAGGCCATGACTAAAAAAGAAAAAGACAAACAGACAACAACAGTACACAAAACACAACATATAAAACTAAAGACTTAGCAACTCGAACCCCACCAAAAACTGGGGGTGATCTAAGGTGCTCCAGAAGGGTAAGTAGATCCTGCTCCACATGTTGCACATGTCGAGTTGCTCATGTTAGTACAAACCCGGTGTAAATTATATTCTGCACAGTTATTACGTAGTAATTGAGTATATAAAAAAGAAAACACGTTTTTCATTCTTTCAAACTGTGTGTAGTTTTTATCGTACTATATTCGATAATATTAACAAAATAATACGTTATTTGATAGCCAAGAAATGCGTAAAATATCTTATTTCATCAGGATATTAAATAAAAAAAACCTACTATATGACGAAAAAGAAAACTGAATGATAGAATTTTGAAATACAATGTGAGCAGATGGCTCTTGTAAAATGTTTTTAGATAAAAAATATATTTAGATGGGTTACTCTTTAATCAAACTAAATTGTCTGAGTTATATCACCTTTTTAAGCATTTTTTAAACTTTTGAATGAATGAATTTTGTTTTGAATTGTCAAAAAGGTTATATTCTTAATTTATCTAGACTTCTTGCTTTGAATTGTATATTTTACAATATACATATAGCAATAAAATGGAACTTATTTTATAGTCAATAAATAAATAATTAACATAGTTTGTCTCTATCTAGATTGGAGTCAAATAACCATGAGAAGTTCTGAACAAGGTAAGTATGAAATTGTGTATTTCAGCTATTGTTTGAAGAACACCATTTTTACTTTGTGTCACAGATTACTATGAATGAGTTCCATTTGTCGAACCGAAAATCCCGTCCCCCTTACCTCGCTTGTCATTTAAAAACCTAAATGTCAGCAAGTGTTAATCTTTTATTGAACTTAACATAGATGGACAACCTACGCGTAGAAATAGTGAAAAACGTGGCGATTTCAGTTTAATTGTTGTCAACTTCCCATTTTGCGGTAGTTACATAACATCAACCACCATCGTAAAGAGTTTTCATATACCAGCTAATATGTTTCGCGCGATTTCGTTTTCACACTATACTGACTTTATCAACAGAGGTGTGAAGACAACACAAAAACTCCTAAATAAAATTGAGAATGGAAATGGGGAATGTGTCAAAGAGACAACAACCCGACCACAGAACAGACAACAGCAGAAGGCCACCAACAGGTCTTCAATGCAGCGAGAAATTCCCGCACCCGGAGGCGTCCTTCAGCTGGCCCCTAAACAAATATATATACTAGTTCAGTGATAATGAACGCCATACTAAACTCCAAATTGTACACAAGAAACTAAAATTAAAAATAATACAAGACTAACAAAGGCTAGAGGCTCCTGACTTGGGACAGGCGCAAAAATGCGGCGTAGTTAAACATGTTTATGAGATCTCAACCCTCCCCCTATACCTCTAGCCAATGTAGAAAAGTAAACGCATAACAATACGCACATTAAAATTCAGTTCAAGAAAAGTCCGAGTCTGATGTCAGAAGATGTAACCAAAGAAAATAAACAAAATGACAATAATACATAAATAACAACAGACTACTAGCAGTTAACTGACATGCCAGCTCCAGACTTCAATTAAACTGATCGAAAGATTATGTCTTCATCATATGAATATCAGGCACAATCCTTCCCGTTAGGGGTTTAGTATCATACCATCATAACATATATGAGAAGAACATAACCCGTGTCATGCCAACAACTGGTTTTTAAATAAATGTGTTTAGTGCCGATGCAAAGACCCTATAAGTGAATCAATATTAACGCCAAAATATGCAATCTTTAATGACCTGACAACAGTATCGTAACTATATCCCTTCTTAATAAGTCTATTTAAAGGTTTTGTTAGTTTCAGAGGTGAATACTGACATTTTTGTGCTTTATAAAGAATATTTCCATAAAAAATTGGATGTGAAATACCTGAACGTATAAGAAGTCTGCATGTTGAGCTATATTTACGAATGATGTCCTTATACCGATGATAAAATTTAGTAAATGTTTTGACTAGTTTGTGATATCGAAAACCCTGGTGTTATAATTTTTCAGTAATACATAAATTTCTCTCGTTAAAATCTAAAACATTGTTACATACACGAGCGAATCGTACAAGTTGAGATATATAAACACCGTAAGATGGTGACAAGGGAACGTCACCATCTAAAAATGGATAATTAACGATAGGAAATGAAAAATCATCTCTTTCATCATATATTTTAGTATTAAGCTTTCCGTTAATGATATAGATATCAAGATCGAGGAAAGGGCAGTGGTCATTGTTAGTATTAGCTTTATTTAAAGTAAGTTCAACAGGATAAATTTCTTTAGTATACATACTGAAGTTGTCATTATTGAGAGCCAAAATATCATCCAAATATCTAAAAGTATTATTAAATTTGTGTATCAGATGTTGTTTCGATGGTTCTTTACTGATTTTTGTCATAAATTGTAACTCATAGCAATACAAAAAAAGGTCCGCAATAAGTGGTGCACAGTTAGTCCCCATTGGAATTCCGATAACCTGACGATATACGGAATCTCCAAAGCGAACAAAAATGTTATCTAGTAAAAATTCAAGGGCATATATAGTATCAAAGCATGTCCAATTGACATAGTTTTTTTGTTTATTGCTACTAAAAAATGACCTAAAAGAGTTTGAACATATATATTCACATTCTGACTTTTTAAATGCCCATTTAATTAGGTGTGTGAATTTTTTCTTAATGAGAATGTGAGGCAATGTGGTATATAGGGTAGAAAAATCAAAACTTTGAACAGATTCAAAATCACCAATGCATGCAATTTATCAAGTACTTCCAACGAGTTCTTGACACTCCAAAAGTAATTAATTCCACTATTTTCGAAGGCCTTATTTGAACAATTTATTATCAGGATTTTGATTGTACCAAGTGTACTGGTAAGAAGAATAGACAATTTAGAAGTGGAACAATGACTTGAAGACGAAATGAATCTATATTTGTAAGGTGTTTTGTGTAGCTTCGGAAGCCAATACATAGTTGGGACTTTCATTGTATTTGGTTCTGCTTGTAAAGCGGTAGCTTAAAGTTTATGTTTGTTACAGATGTCGTTTTCTGAAAATGGAGTCAGTTGGAATGTTGGTGAATTGGTGATTTCTTTTTTCAGAACCTCAATGTAAAATTTACGTCAAACAATAATCATATTGTTAGCAGCTTTATCGGCCAAGCATTATTATCAGAAAGAAGGGTCTTAAATTGACACTACCCAAGTCCCCTTCACGATTAAGAGTGTCGATACGATGAGTCTTTGTTTCAGCTCAGTAGAGACATGCTTTCGTGGTTTTAGGTTTTAAAACATCAGAATAGTTGTCGAATATGTAACTTCCTGATTGTGTCCTATTTCTTATTGTGACATTTTTACTGAGTCTGTATACGCTTGGCGAGCGATGCAAGCATAGCAGGAGACGATAAACCTGTCTACGCCTCCGACTTGACCTCTTTCATTTAATTCCGTTCTGATTTTCTCTCCATTTGTATGTATTTTCAAAATGGATAGACAGTGTAAACATCGGCAACCTGTTTTTGCCTCTTTCTTATGTCGTCCGTCCGACTAACATCATTAAGTTGTTTTGTGTGACGATAAACACTATTTACAAACTTACTATTTGTGTACATCACCGAATGCGAAAAATCGCTGGAAACTAAATCTGGCAACTTGCGGAGCTAGCTGTAAAACCAGGTTTAACCCACCATTTTCTTTGGAAAATCCCTGTAACAGGTCAGGAATATGACAATTGTTTTTCTTTCGTTAATATATATGTTGCCTCAGTTTTTTTCAGTTTAAATGATTTTTATCTTTTAATCTATTTCTGGAATGGCTGGATATTCATTTAACATTTTCTTAGAATTCAATTAATAGATATAGGAAGATGTGGTATGAGTGCCAATGAGACAACTGTCCATTTACTTGCCATTTACGGGGTGTTTTTCTATTCGCGTCGTCTCATGTGTATAACTATAAACACAAACATCACATATGTATACCATTATAATCTGCAGGGTGAAACATTAATGAAATCTTTTCCCTTATTGCTCACAATTTCATTACAACTAGTTCCTTTGACTATACTAATTTCCATGTATTACGAATAAGACTTGTTTTGAATAAGACATAAGTCTGAGAAATAGTATTTAAACTTGAAACAAAATTTTAATACATGTATCTCAGGTAGACATGAAAATCTAAATTTGAGAAATTATGAAATATTGTAAGGAGGACTTTATATATATTGCTTTACACAGTGATCTCTAGATTTCTGCTATGCTGTTGGTCTCCTGTCTCATTGGCATTTTATCTCATTTTTCTATCATAGATTATATATGTCATTTGCTGTGATTAAGATGAATAACATTATTACCAATATCAGAATTGAATCTTAATATTGATATGAAATAACATTTGCCTTAATTACTTATAGACAACTTAAACAAGCCTCAAGAAGAATTAAAAGAATCTAGTGTTATTCTTAAATGCACATTCCGCGAATTGTTCGAAATACCAAGGATTTTCAACCGAAGGGATGGATTACCTTAGCTGTTTTTGGTCAAACCTTTTTGGATTATTTCGGTCCACAATGCACTTCAATTTCGTACTTGATTTGGCCTTTTAACTTTTTTTATTTGAGCGTCACTGATGAGTCTTTTGAATACTAAACGCGCTTCTGGCGTACAAAATTATAAGCATGGTATCTACGATTGTTTTTTGTTAAAGATTATGTACTCTCATTAAATTAGCCCAAGTATGTTCACTATGTTGATCGCATCTTTCCCATAGAACTTGCAATAAAGGACAGAACAAATAAACTTTTACTTCATACTTACATGAAAAATTTGACAGTGACGGTCGGTTGAGAACTACACTTTACGATAAACGAGATGATTTTAGATTTCCCATTGTGATATTTTCATTTGAATGTAGCAACATTAAAGAAGAGCCTGCATATGAAATATTTATCTCCAAGTCAATACAGTATTGAAAGATTGCGTATCTTATCATGATTTCTTTGATAGATGGTTGGTGCTAGCAAGGAGACTACTGAACCGATGGTTTGTTATGGTAAATTAAGGCGACAGTAGTTAACCGATGTTCAATAACATTAATTGTACCAATTTTTCTGCACGATATGCCTATTTCGACAATAAATTTCTCTTCCGTGATGCTCGAGGCTAAAATATTTTAAAAAAATCCAAAACATATGAAAAAATGAAGAACTTATAAACCAAAAAGGACAAAACGTATAGCCAAAGCGGGACAAGAAATCAGAGCTTTGCACGAGAGAGATAAATTCCTTAATTTAAGATAATTTCCAAAATTTTGTAACAGCAAACTTTAATAACACATTATCCGTATTTTCATGCCGGTACCGAAGTACTTGCTACTGTGCTGATGATACCCTTGGGTACTAACAGTCCACCAACAGAGGTATCGACCCAGTGGTATTTATAACATTAACGATACCAATTTTTCTGCACAGAATGTGCATTTCGACAATAAATGTCCTTCAAATCTCGTAAAACGATTATAAAGAAACAATGTCACAAACAAAAACTGAGGGAATCGCAAGAACACCAAAAGGAGCGAGACCGGTTGCGCCGACAGGGAAGGCGTCTCCTGCTTTGTATGCGTCACCCGCAATGAGAATTCACAATCGGGAATAGGACACATTCGGTTAATTTGCAGATCAGGCAACAATACTCATATCTCAAGATCTAAGACCGCGAAAACATGTCGCTAGTGAGTTGAAACACTGACGCATGGTATCGGTCAACCAATTTGTGATGGAGAGTTCCATCTGGCATTCGTCATTTGATGACCATTAGACCGTTCCTTCAAAATAAGACTGTCAAGTCGACGCTGAAATTTGTTATATTGATTCATTTCCAATAGTACTTATTAAAGAAACTATATATCTTTAGATTTGAGAAAGTAAGGATATATATTTACGGATAACGGAGCTTTATTAATAAAACATAACTTTGAAATAGATAAGAAGATGTTGAGGTAGAAGTTTGAAGTATGCCTTTGAGCTAACATTCAACAGGAATAACCAAACGTTTTGAAAGAAGATGATGTAATGATTCACTGGAAGCAACATAAAGGAGACAGTAAAAAAAAATTAACAAAACCAGTTTAGATCGACATATGCTTTTATAATTTGACTTAGTCAATAGAGGTATTGAAATATCAACATAATTTGCATACAAGAAAATTAACTATACTGCAATACTATAAGATACAAAACGACTTTGAATGTTTGATTCAATTTGTCTTAAAGAAAGAAAATGAATATGCATTACGGGTAAAATTATTTTGAAATGATCGCATTATTTTTGTTTACCTTTTCAGTAGCCAGTTATGACTTCTGGAGGAACAAGAACGTTTACCTTCTACAGGATGGATCATATAATACAGTAAGTTTATATAAATCCTTTATATCTATAAAGTTAAGGCATTGCATTAGTATGATTTATTAAATAACTTCACTAACAAAAGTCTTGATTCAGGAGAATTACGGGATGGTAGAATGGCATAATGAAAATATTTGGTTTTCCAGTTAAATTTTTAAATGAAATTTCCATATAAAATTTGATATGACAATACTACAATCAAGTACACACTTAAAAAGCTGATTGTCGTAGTTTCTTAGTAGAACATGACTGTCGCCATTTAAAACACCCATTTTATTTCACAGTTTATATAAAAAAATATATGTGTGTTGGCTCTTTATATTGTGAAGCCTACTCCTCAAAATATTTTAAACAGAGAAAATTTGTTTTGTCATTGGCAAACATATATGAAGACATCGACGAATACCAAACTTTTTTTTTATTCTTGTTTACAGGATTTATTCACGGAAGAAGCCGTGAAGATAATTGATGCTCACGATCAAAAGAAGTCACCTATGTTTTTGTATCTTCCGTACACAAGTCCCCATTTTCCTCTCCAAGTAAGTATACATAATTCACTATCATCATTACGCCATATGATTTCATTAAAATACTAGTAAGAAAATTAACACAGTTCACAGAAAATGTCTTATGTACTACAGGTATTGGACGTGTTTTAAGTGTTAACATTCTTCAGATATTGTATTTGTTATTTGGTGAAGCCAAACCAATTATACAAATGTAAATGTAATTGTTAGATTCATACATGCCATATTTGCCTTGAACAAAGCATTTAAACAGCCAATGGCAACAATAGTACTGTTTAATGTAAAAATCGCTTTAAATTCATCAAAATGAAATTTGACCAATTATAACAGCCAGACGAATCTCTTTCTATGTGCCTTAGATTATAGCTTATTGTCTGTCACTTGACAAGATATGAAAATAAAGAAAGAAAAATAATGAATCCAAATCAAAGTAAACACAACAAAACAGAGAATGCATAGAACAAAAAAATATCTAAAATGTCTCAGATGTGTTCATTTACAGAAGTGTTTGCTGATTAATTTAGAGTCGTAATACGTGTATTTCAAATCAAATTAATTGCGAAAAATGTCTCGATGTTTTGCGTGATTATTTGTATGTTTGAAACTGAGTATTTGACCCTAATGGTAATGTTGAGCCAAATCAAAATATTTGATATCGTTCTAACAGTTTGTAATGTAAATCGCAACGTTCTTTTGTTTTTTTGTGATTCAATATTTTAAATAGTAGTACCATTTAAAACAATGTTTGCAAATTGTATGATAAAGCAATATGACTTTTAAGGTACCACAAACGTTCAAGAATTTGTACCAAAATGTAACAGACCCTAAAAGACAGACATATTTAGGTAAGTAAGGAAGAGAAAACTCTCAGACAAATGTGAAGACATATAACGTGTCTGTATAGTGTTACATATATACAAATGTATTATATGTAATACTAGTTTATTCACATCTTCGTTTATAACAAAACTGGAAAGCAAGTAGGGACAAAAATCAGCAAACTATATCTTCAAATGTAGGGTGACATGTTTTCCTGCGGATTTTTACCTTGTAAACAAGCACGTTAAAAATCCGGCAAAGCGTGTTGGTCTAGTACAACGCAGGGTTAATATTCATATTAAATTCACATCTGCTCGTCCTGAATATGCATTTAATTTACCGCTGGACGTTAAGCAACCATCCAATATCATTATTAAATGCAAATATATTTCATTCTGCGACATATGATATATTTTTGCACCCTAGGAAACTCGCCACTGTTTTATTTCACGAAAATGCACAAATCTTGATTCTGATCTATGTTATATTCACGGACATAATTGTATGCCACTACAAAAGTTAGGGCAAGTTTCGTTGAATGTCAGAATACGTTTTTTGATACGTCACGGGTGCGTTTTATACGTTCACGGGTCGCTGAAACTACGCCGGGCGGATGTTACAAACACGCCCCGTATACGTCCAAGTAAAATTCCAAGTAAAAGTCGAACGATCTTGAGGCGTATGCAACGTGCCCTAAACGTGTCTCAAACTTATCTGTAGCGTTTTTCAACGCGCTTGTAACGTATGTAGTACGTGCGTGTAGCGAACAGGTATACGCTTGACAAGCTCTAGATCTAGATGAAAATGTTTATGCAACATAAAAATTTCCTGGAGTTATAGCGTTCACCAAGCGTATACCTTTGCATTTCGACGTACTTCAAACTAATGCAACGCGTGTCTAACGATTGCTTAGCGTTCCTATTGCGTACACCTAACGTTTACGGACTTAATCAATTTTCACTGTACGTCTGGTGCACGTCGGTCTATACGCCAATGTGTGACGCCGGCATAGGAGTCTTTTTTAGACGAAACGCGCGTCTGGCGTACACAATTTTAAGCCTGGTATCTATGATGAATTTATTTTCATACATGTAGACGGTATGATAAACTGATGTTTTAAATATCAGCGGACAACAGTATATTTTAAAATTTAGCAGTTATATACTTCTAGTTTATCCTTGCTTATTTACCTTTAAAGATGTTTAAGTGTCAATTATAAAATAATTTGATATAGAACGGTCGTTGTTTTGTTGTCAAGTATAACTCATTAGTGAATCACTGACCTTTACCCAATTTTTATGATAAATAAAAACAGATGAAAAATGCAGTTTTCAACCTTTTATATTTGTAGCTGCAACTTCAGAATTAAATTCTTTATTTACAAACCTATGTACTAAATTTCAGGAATGGTATCATCTTTAGATTTCAGCGTTGGAAGAGTTGTAACTGCTTTAAAAAGAAATGGTTTCATGGATAATACAGTAATTATATATCTGAGTGATGTACGTACATAGTTCAAATGTAGTAAAATAAAAATAAGAAGATGTGATATGATTGCCAATGAGACAACTCTCCACAAGATACCAAATGACACAAAAATTTACATCTATAGGTCACCGTATGGCCTTCAACAATGAGAAAAACCCATAACGCATAGTCAGCTATAAAAGGCCCCGAAATGAAAAATGTAAAACAATTCAAACGAGAAAACTAACGGCCTGATTTATGTAAAAAATAATGAACGAAAAACATATGTGATATACAGCAACAAACGACAACCATTGAATTACAGGCTCCTGACTTAGGACAGGAACATACAGAATGTGGCACCTCCCCTAACCTAGAACAATGATGTAACAGCACAACATATGAACAAACTATAAAAATCAGTTGAAAAGGGCTTAACTTATCAGATGGATACAAAGTATACATCTTACAAAAACACAGACTGGACGTGGTAGGGTACTTTTACATCCCACAACAAAAAGACACTAAGTACAGATCTGAGAGTACTCACAGTTACTGACAGCTAGTTCAAAGCCAATAACAACTAATAAAAAAAATCATGCATCTTAGACTAAAATATCAATCAGTACACATCCAACATCCAATGGATTTAGTGTAAAGACGACATTAACAGTCAGAGAAAAGCATGATCTTGTGCAATGCCAAAATAGTCCATCTAAACACATACCAATATAAATTAGACCCTGGCTTCATATTTTGCTTAGGATGAATAATAAATAGTAATACTAAAATGTATCGAACAACACCATTAGTTTTTCCTAAATGTTTACGATTATGACACCGAAGGAATCCAAAGTTGATTGTTTGTCTAATGTAGTAAGGGAAACTATAAGTCTTAAATACTCCGAAAGGATTTATACCGAATTAGACTCATTACCAGGTTTGACACTTCCATTAGCAACATGATAGGTGCCACATGTGGAGCAGGATCTGCTTATCCTTCCGAAGCATCTGAGAACACCTTCGTCTTTTAGTGGGGTTCGTGTTGCTCAGTCTTTAGTTTTCTATGTTGTGTTTTATGTAATGTTGTTTATCTTTTCGTCGTTTTTCGTTTTTTTGCTATGACATTATCAGTTTGTTTTCGACTTATAGGTTTGAATATCCTTTTGGTATATTTCGCCTCTCTTTTAAAGAAGTTCATTTATAATAAAAGTTCTATGGTTTTTCAAATATTCGGCATTTGGCGTTCCTAATGAAGGTAAATCCAGAAAAGCGCTTCGGACACATGAAATTTATCAATGTTTTTTTTATTAAATTCAGTTAAAATGGTTCTTTCTTCAGAACGGACGATTTTAATACTTACTGCCTATTCCAATTATATTTTATGATGTGACTTTAAGAATTCTGTTAGGGGTGTTGTATATGATTTTATCTTCTTGAAATAATTCAAATATTAGTTGTGGCTACCTTAGTTAGCTTTCTGCAGTAGTGAGCACATTTTCACCCTGATTTCTCCTTATATTTCCTTATTGAATTTAGTGGTCATCCTGTTGGTAGCTGGACAGTGCAGGAATTTTATAACGTTTTTGACATATGGTCTCGATTTGCGAAGAGAAAGGTTTGTGTGCGCATCAACTGGTATAATCCCACCACATTTTAAGCATTTATATAGTCCTGCTTGTTAGTTGGTTACCGTTGTGGAATATCTATTTCACAGATAACAACGGATATGTTACCATAATCCCGTCCTTTTTTTCTCTTATAAGACATCGCGGAATTTAAGTTATCACCAAGTTTGTACATATGTAAGGCTGAGCTACACGACGGGTATCACATGTGGAGCAGGATCTGCCAACCGTTTCGGAGCACCCGAAATCACTCCCGGTTTTGGTGGGGTTCGTGATCCTCAGTCTTTAGATTTCTATGTTGTGTTTTGTATACTGTTGGTCATTTAGTCGTTTTTCGTTTTTTGCCATGGCGTGATCAGTTTGTCATCGAGTTATAAGTTTCTAAATATGATATGGTAACCAGGAAAACAAATTATCAAGAAATGTATGTGTGTCCAGTTGTGGATGATGACATTATGTGTTAGCATCACTTTTATCCAAACGAATTTTTAATAAATTAGTGATATGGATCCGTATATTGTTGTATGATTTTTCTTGTTTACAATTCTGGAACAGTACCAGTAAGGTGTGGGTAGTGGTAAGTTCCATTTTGTAAGGAACAGCATTACAATTTTACAGAATTAAATCAAATTTTGATTAATATCAGGCCCAAAAGCAAAAAGTGTGTATATGATTTGCAAATGCGTGAGGTTGAATGAATGATTTTGTAAAATACTCCAAAATAGTTTTAAAAATTAGTATCTTTACGGTGGTGTAGATAATTGCGTGATATTAAGTGACTAGCAATAAAAATAACATCGTAAAAGAAAGCCACTTACGCTTCATTCAAACATGTTTTATACTTATCCTTTATTGAAACAGAATGGCGGTGCTCAGAACTTTGGTGGCAGCAATTTACCATTTAGGGGAGATAAGAGTGATTTATGGGAAGGAGGAACAAAGTCCGTCGGATTTGTGTATAGTCCCAAGTTTCTAGGTCAGCAAGGATGCATTCATTCAGGGTTTGTATGCTTTGATGAATTTCGTAAATCTCTATTTAAAAATTTTTTAAAGAAAATAAGATTGCACTTATATTTGAGATTGATAATTTTCTCCAATCTTGAAGCTATTCGTCATTTCTTAATGTTACTTATATTTGAATTTGAGTTCAATAGATGAGAGTACATGAAGACAAAAGTAAGAAATGAAGAATTATTCAAGACTCCAATCTTTTGAAAGGCAATTTCATGTAACAAAAAAATAATTACTGAAAACAAGACGTGGGACATTTGAAAAAAAGTATCGTTTAAATTTACAATAAATTAGATAAAAAACAGATTTCGATAGAACGAACACATTGGCTTTTTTTATACATACATGAATTTTTTATTTGGTTTATTACTTTAAATTTAACCATTTCATATTAATCACCAGAATGATTCATGCTGTCGATTGGTTTCCAACAATACTTGACATCGCTGGACACAACCAAGGTACATTTGGTTTTACTTTGTACAAATAAAGTCATAATTTTTCTTGCATACATGTAAAATTTGAATAGTAGCAGAATGGTGAATGTTATCCTTTCAAATATCATGCTCAGAAATTTAATAAAAATGCTACTTTCCTGGATATATTTTAAAAGATTATTAAACCTATTAAATGTAAGATTATTAAACCTATTAAATGTGAGATTATTAAACCTATTAAATGTAAGATTATTAAACCTATTAAATGTAAGACTCCTTTAAATTTTTAATATAAACAATAATTAGGAGATGTGGTAAGATTACCAATGAGATCACTATCCATCATAGACTTAAGGACAAGGATGTAAACAACTTTAGAGTACTGTACGGCCTTTAATAATGAGCAATAACCATACCCTATAATAAGCTTTAAAAACCCAGTCATGACAAAATTTGAAACAATTCAAAATATAAAACCAACGGTTTGATTTATTTAAAACATAAAATAAAAACAAACAGACAAACAACAACCAACACCACTAAATTACAGGTTCTTGACTCTTGAAACAAGAAACATTAAGAATGTGGCGGGTTGTAATAGAACAACATAAGAATAGATTATAAAAACAGTTGGAAAAGGCTTGACTCGCAAATCGTTACTAAGCACAACAAAAACACAATGTACCGCTCCAACACTACTTGCAGTTACTAAAATCATGCAGAAAACCAATTCCAAATAATAAATAAACTGTGTTTTACCAGACTAAAATTTCATTCAATCAGTACATATCCAATGGATTACTAGTAAGTGGGGAGACGTCATAAACAGTCTACGGAAAGCATGGCCTTGTGCAATGCAAATATATAAGTATCGACAGGACGTAAGATGTAATTTATGAAAAACAAAATCAGTTTTAGTTTTTTGTCGGTCTCTCTCTTCAACTAAAACGTTTTCATATTTCTGTGTCTTTCTCCTCTTCTTTAGTAACAGTGAAAACAATATTCAAAGATCTTACTACTAAAAGTGTTTGATTGATAATCTCTCAAAATAAGTTATGAATGAAGTTTCTATTATTTAAGGCATCAATAAGTTTGGAAGACGAATCTAATTTTATTGGCTTTATAATCAACATCACCATAAATAAAATGAAGCAATATGCTGTAAGTAATTATATTTCTACAGGAACCGCAAAACTTCCAAACCAAATCTTTGTAGTTTTAATGAAATAATAAAGGCTCTAAGTAATTTGTTGTAACGAAATGCCTGGCTTAATGAATTACCAGTTATACACAGAATACGATCACTGAAACCTTAAACGTCACGTCAGACTATTTACTATACTGGTCTAGACTCGAAGTGATTTACTGTTTGACATACTGTATAGACAGTTGTCTATTGTTGACCTCTAGATGTGTTTTTACAATATTTTTTTGTTGCTCTTCGCGTCATTTGGCTGCTTTCTTGTTGATGCACACTCTCACACGTCCTTTTGTTTACTCTCGTTTTTTTTCAATTACGTTGAGACTTAGACATATATTCATCTCATTTGTTGTGCATATTCGATTTAAAAAAACAAGCCAATTTATGTCATGCAAAGTTTACCTGTATAAGGAGGTGATATGGATATAATCATATAAAGTGGTGCTTTGCATATATTGTCATCTAAAAAGGATTCTGAATTAGACAAAAATCGAATTGAGGTCAAGTTTTAATTCAGTTGTGTCACTATGTTCATTTTAATTATGGAATCCACATTTTGGGTATGACGTTTTGTAATCGTCTACAAAAATGGCAACATTTTATAATTTTGCAATGAAAAATGGTTATAACAACGAAATATTACATATAATCATATAAAAAGATATTCATTCATAAGTTTATGATTATGCAGGTGTTTTATCAAAGATCGATGGAGTCAGCCAGTGGCAATATATAAAACAATGTTATGGTTCAGCAAGAAACGAGTTTGTATATAACATAGATGACTTTGTGGCTAAATCAGCTGCTATCAGGTTTGTTATACTTTTAATTAACATAAACCAATCACATGTAAAGGACTCGATGAGGGGTAATGAGTTTCAATTGTCTCATCGCTCTGGAGACTTTTGGTCAAACCTAATATATTTAACAGAAACCACCTCCTTTTCTAGAAAAATTGATTTTGAAATAGTAACATTGAAACTATTTGGTTTGAAGTTAAACCTAGCTATAAGAAATCCTTTTTATTGTGCTTTGTTTATATGCCATCCAAGTCACTAATTGGTTGGATTGATAAATTTGAGGATGAGATTAAGGTGGCAATGAAATATAATTCAGAGCTTCTAACATAAATTGTTTACAACCCAATAAAATACAACAAAGATGATTAAATGCTCTAGAAACTTATAACTTTCAACAGTTAATTAAGGTACCAACCAGAGTAACAAATGAATCAAAAACTTTAATTGACCATATATATGTCACCCATTTAAGCATTGTTAAAGAGGCTCATGTTTCTAAATATTCTATCAGTGATCACTATCCAATATGCATGACAAGACAAAAGAAAATGTATGATAAAAAACATACTCATTCAACAATCACTTATAGAAATTTTAAAACTTTTAATGAGCAAAATTATTTAAAAGATTTAAAAAGTGCACCTTTTCAACATATTGAATTTGAAAATGACCCATCTGTTTGTATTGAAATTTGGTACAACATTTTTAATAACATTTTAAATAAACATGCCCCTATTGTGAAAAAGAGGGTAAAAAAAGACCGACAGTCAGAATGGTACAATAAAGAAATCTCATATGCAAGAAAAATGAGAGATAAACATAATTCACTGGGAATGTGGGCTGAATATAGATTCTGGAGAAACAAAACAAAACATATTATTGATACATCTAAACAGAAATATTACAATGATATGATAAAAGACTCAAAAGATTCTTAAACACTATGGAAATGTATTCACAGTATAAATCCATCTAATCCATCAAAACCGCATGAACTTATTGCAACCGGAGACTATATAACTACAGATCATAAAGAAATTGCTAATGAATTTAATAATTATTTCACCTCATGTGTTGAAAAATTAAGGCATAGCAGCGTACCAAGTAACTCAAATTTTAATACTCTGACAAACTATGTACAAATGAAATTCTTAAAAAAAAGGCACAACAAGTTCATCATTCCTCCAGTAAAAGTTTCAGAACTATTTGATGAAATAATTAATGTAGATGTTAAGACATCTTCTGGTTCTGACAATATAGGTCCAAAAATTTTAAAACTGAGTGCTCCTTTTATAGCATCTTCCTTAACATGCATTTTTAATCGAATAATGGATACTGGTATTTATCCATCTGTTTTAAAAAATGCCAAGGTAGCTCCAATTTTCAAATCTGGTGAAAAAAAACGTAGCTAGCAATTACAGACCAATATCTGTTTTGCCAACATTATCAAAATTAATAGAGAGACATGTATCTAAACATCTGTATAATTATTTGACAAAGTTTCAAATTTTACACCCTTCCCAGTCTGGTTTTAGACCTAACCATTCATGTCAAACTGCCCTAGTTAATATCATTGATAAATGGCTACATGAAATGAATAATGGAAATATCAATTTGGCAGTCCTCCTAAATTTTATGAAAGCTTTTGATGTTGTTGATCATGAAATTTTATGTAAAAAACTTCAAATTTATGGCTCCCATGAAGATACTGTTGATTTTTTTAAATCATATTTGAGTGAAAGAACACAGCAAGTCCATATAAATAATCAGTTTTCTGATAAAAAGTTTATAAATTTTGGTGTTCCACAGGGCTCAATACTTGGTCCCATTTTGTTTGTTTTGTACATAAATGACCTTCCATTACACATCAAAAACTGCCATACAGACTTTTATGCTGATGACACAAGAATGCATACATCAGGAAAGAGTAATGCTGATATGCAATTAAAAGTACAAGATGATCTCCAAAGTGTTGAAAATGGTGTCATAAAAATCACATGTTCATAAATTCAGATAATACTAAATGTATGGTTATAGGTACAAGACAAAGGCTGCGTTTAAATCAATCAGAACCAGTTCTAACTATTAAGAATAATATTCTTCAAAAATCATCAATTGAAAAACTTTTAGGTGTTAAAATTGACTCTAATCTGTCCTGGACAGGCCATGTTAATTACTTATGTTCATCAATATCATCCAGACTTCATTTACTCTCTAAAATCAAGAAATTTCTAAATATTGATTCAAGAAAATTGTTTTATAATGGCTATATTCTCCCACTGATAGATTATTGTTGTATTATTTGGAATGGTTGTGCTAAAAATGAGCTAGTCAGAATAATAAAATTGCAGAAAAAGGCTGCAAGACTTATTTTAGATGCTGATCCACTTTCATCATCAGCTCCACTGTTTAAACAGCTTGGGTGGATGACAGTAGAAAACAGAATCTCATACCACAATCTGTTTTGATGCAGAAATGCATTAAGAACGACGCCCCTGTATATCTCACTGAAAAAAATTACAGAAATGCCAGAAATAAACCAATATTGTTTGAGGAATGCGTCTTGCAAAAACTTACAAGTTCCAAAAGCCAAAACAGAGCTGTATAAGAAATCTTTTATATATTCAGGATCTATTTTATGGAATAACTTACCAACATCCTTGAAAAAATCAACTTCAAGTACAAGCTCATTCAAAAAAGATTTAAAAAATTACTTGTTGGAACATTAAGAAGCTGTGTAATTTTATATGTATAATATTTTTCACACACTTTCTCAAACTTAAGATATTGTTGAGGTAATTTGAATGATGCCAATACTATATGAATTTGTAATTTTTACCTGTTTTGAAAATTGTATATTTCATAACAATTTTTTATTTCATTTTTTCATATATGTGTGTTTGTTTGATATTTTGTAATTGTTTGTTTTATTTCATTGTATTTCATGAGGGCCTCAGGGAAGATTAGTTTTATAGCTAACTGTGTAACCCTCTTTAAATAAAGAATTTTTATTTTTATTATTATTATTATTAATAGATTTTTTGTTTGTCCGACATTTACCTCTTATTTAAAATGAACAGAGCGAGCAAAAATAATTTTGGATTTTAATTTTTTGCGACTGGGTAAAATTTTTTTGGGCAGTAAATTGACTTCTTTTATAATGAACTCTGGTAATTACCATTATTCTTATTATATCTTCTGTTCTGTAAACGTGTTTGTCCTTATTTTAGCTGTGAATTTTCCTAAACTATTCATACAATGTATTGGGAATTGTTTAACATATGGCAACATATCTTTTATCCACACGTATGTACATTTTGTTCCGATGAAATCTGCCATTATCAATTTATTCATAATTCAATATTCTTATATGCTTTAGATATCAACACATACTTGAATGTGATTGGTCCTTTATGATTTTGTTTACCTTGAGTTATACTACGATAAACCATGTTGCCGAAAATACTATAGTACACGTACCATATAATGTAAATCTATATTGATTTCACTGTGATATATTCATGTGCGATACACAGGAATAGAATCCAGGAGTTCCAATAAAGTTGAATTAAAAAAAAAATTACTAATGTGTGGATTGAGAACTTTAAGGAATCAATACATTTTTTGTAGTGGTTATTAATGTGTAAACTTGGCTGTTGACTTTACAAAAAAAGTCCTCTAGAAAAATTGTGATGAATCCCATATTAATCTTTGCTTGATACAGTCAACTAAAAAAATGTTTGTACCATTAAGTTAATAAATATCATTATACATTTGTGGCAGAGTAGGGAATGTCATTTCCTATCATTTAGATAATAAATTGTACTATACATTTGTGGCAGAGTAAATACCATTTTCTACCATTTGAAAAAATATCATAGTACTATACGTCATTTGTGACAGAGTAGGATATGTCATTTCCTATCATTTATAAACATATAGAATGGCCAATCTAGATACAAGTATCTTGTCTAAGGGTGGGATGAATCGTACTTAAAAAAACACTTTGATTCAAACAAAAATTTCTCTGTAATTGACATTATCAATATGCTTGACTTCTTGATTGACAATATATTTGTTACGTTTGGAGGACTTGTTTTTCAACAAACAATCGGCATTCCCATAGTAACAAACTGTGCTTATCTTCTTGCCGACTTGTTCCTTTGTTCATATGAGGCAGAATGCATACTTGAGCTTCTTATGAAGAATATAAAGAAGCTAGCATTATCCTTTAATTTCACGTTACGCCATACAGATGATGTCCTCTCACTATATAATTCAATATTTGGAGACTAAATCTGCCTCATATCTTGACATTCATCTAGAAATTATCAATGAGGGTAGGTTGAGAACGAAACTTTACCACAACAGAGAAGATTTCAGATTCCAAATTGTGAACTTTCCATTTCTATGTAGCGTCATTCCAGCAGCGCCTGCATATGGAGTATATATCTCCTAGTTGATACGATATTCCAAAGCTTGCATTTCCTCTTATGGTTTTCTTGATTGAGGGTTGCTGCTTACAAGGAATAGATGAAACCAACAGTTCCAAGTGGTGCAGTTGAAATCATCCCTTCAAAAATCTTACGGACGCCATCACGAGTAGGTTGACGTTATGGAATATCTGTTTCACAGATGACGCCGGATATGTTCCAATTGTCGTAATCACAATCCCGTACTCTTTTCCTCGTACGAGCCCTACCGGATAAGACTAATCTCCGGGTCTGTACTTACATGAGCAACACAATAGGCGTCACATGTGGAGCGATCTGCATACCCTTCCGGAGCACATGAGTTCACTCCCGATTTTAGTAAGGGTTCATGTTGCTTAGTCCATAGTTTTCTATGTTGTGTTTGTACACCATTCTTTGGTTTTTGCCAGGCATTGTCTATTCGTTTTCGACTGATGAATTTGACTATTCCTTTGATATCTTTCGCCTCTCTTCTGTAAGAATGGGGTTGTCATTGTCTTATTAAACGACAGTGACAAAACATTAAACAAAGACCGGATTCCATGCAGTTATACCAACAGCTTGACATTTTTGGGGGTTATTTACGGCTTCATGAAATATATATGTAGAAATCGATTGGTCATGCAGATTTTTTGATAACGTATCAAAACAATGATCATATTTAATTAAACGGACAACTTCCAAAATTTCATTTTCAATTCCTTCATTGTATTTTTACGCGAACGCTGTAAAATATGTGTTTCATTTCAGAGTAGGAGATTACAAGCTGATTCTTGGAGACCCTAGAGTGAACGTGTTCGATCCAATAATAAACCTCCCAGTGCCAATTGACCCGAACAACAGGGAAGTGCGACTTTTCAACTTAAAATGTATGTGTTTTAATTCCAACAGAACTACTTCTTTAGTTCTAACAAATATGTAGATTTTAATCTGTTCATAAGAGGGGGGACAAAATAGTACGGAGAGGCAATTTGCTCCAACCACCTATTTGTATGCTTGTGCCATATATTCCTTTTTTCGGTGTTCTTATGTCTGACTGAAAGTCAATGTTTTTTGTGTGTATTTCGTCGACTTTCTAAGTTCAGAACGCTCGAATAACTGAATGATGAAGGTAGATATAAGCATAAAACACATTTTTTTTGTATTTACTTTGTTTTTAATTAGCTACATCTTTAAAAGACATTATCGCTACCTTTACTGCTATATGTAATAAAAAAAGGGGAAACAAATATTTATTTTGCACAAAAATACTACATCGGTTTCAAGGAATTTGATAGCTGTACTTTTCGGATAAAACGTAGTGTTGTTAAGTAATCAGATGATGTGGTGGCCTGAACAAATTTAACGAATATTCTCATTGAAAGCTGTCTTTCAGTTCTACTAACCTTGTTACGGAGTGTACATTTATTAATTGATTATATATACGTGTGATTACATTGACGTCTCAAAATTCAATAAAAGTAACAATTACTTTAGGAAGAACGTAGTTTTTTTCATGTAGCATTCTCTCAAAAAATGGTTTGGATGTTATCGGCAATATTTTCCACTAAAAATCTTTACAAATATACTCCCGCTGGTCTTGTTATTACTGTAGATCTTGTCATCGTAAACAATGAAAAACTTAAAGAGTTGAGGACTATGCAAGACAATGGGTAAATCAGAAGCCAGATGAACAAAAACTGGACACTTTATTTAAATGAATCAAAATTGTTCGGTCATGCATTCAGAGACGGATTCGAAATTTACGATGCACAATGAGCACACTGATGTCTAACCCTTTCAAGAAGTCCGATGTTCTGGATGCAATATCCTCTCTTCACGACAAATATGTTACTGTTCCAGCAGACAAAGCCTCTAACAATATTGTTTTATATGAAAAAAACATTATTAGGAATGACTAACTTATGAAATCGAAATTTACAGAAAAACTTTGAATCCCTCATAAACCGCTACGTCATTCCGAAAGTGGAGATTTTAGAAAATCACAAATCCTTCCATCACTCATTTTGTATTAACATAAAAAAAGACGATGAAATGATCCTGCCTTTATACAGGATACCTAAACTTCATACAAATCCTTATAAAGAGCGATGTATAGCCGTGTCGTCAAATATTTGACTTGGTGAAGAACCGCGCCGACTCGATCGACAACATATTTATCCAAGTTTGGTGGATTGATATAGCAATAGGCAGTTGGTATTCGAATGGGTACTAAGAAACCTCGTCAGTTGTGGTCATATATGTCTTTTCGTAAAGATAATATTGTTTATCATTTTTTTTTTGGAATTTTTTCCTGTTGGCAGATCTTTGGTGGTTTCTGATTAACTTATTTAGAAGTTTTTGGAGGACTTGAGCTTGACTTGTTAAAGACTGTATGTTGACCTCTAAGATTTCATGTCTTCTGTGCCGTTTGCCTATTCGCGTATACAAAATCCTTATATAATAATAGCGAAATCATGTATTTTAATAATCGTAACATACATTTATTCATTACAGCTGACCCATCGGAAGGACATAACCTCGCGTCTGAGATGCCTGACCAGGTAATATTGATCATAGGAAAACTACATGAATACAGAAGAGACAGCATAGCAGCTCAAAACCCTGTTAATCTCTCCCCGAACATTACACAATCATGTGGTATCCTAGCACTTGGATGGTGTGATTTGTAATCATAGGGTAATAAAAGATATATTTACAGTTGTTCTGTTCTTTATTATTTCCTTAAAAGGGGTAATATTTCAATCGGTTCATGAGGCTTATATCATCTACATGTGCACATTTTTATGCCTCACCTACGATAGAAGTAGGGGCATTATGTTTTCTGGTCTGTGCGCCTGTTCGTTCGTCCGTCCGTTCGTCCGTCCGTCCGTCTGTCCCGCTTCAGGTCAAAGTTTTTGGTCAAGGTAGTTTTTGATGAAGTTGAAGTCCAATCAACTTGAAACTTAGTACACATGTTCCCTATGATATTATCTTTCTCATTTAATGCCAAATTAGAGTTTTGACCCCAATTTCATGCTCCACTGAACATAGAAAATGATAGTGCGATTGGGGCATCCGTGTGCTATGGACACATTCTTGTTTTATATATATATTTATTTATTTACAAGTACTGTATGACCGGTTATATAGATATACAATATTCACTTCCACTCATTCTCCTTATTTAAATAAATGATGCTTTTTACTTTATCTTGGTTCCTCAGAACAGAGGAAATGAGCGGAGATATGTTTTTCATGCACATGTCTTCGAAAGTTATATTTCTGACAAAATTCACACAGACCTCATATACTAAGAGCGATTCGCCATAGCTGAGGGTCATAATGGGGGTCCTTCATTTCTGTATTCTTATTTTTTTGTCAAATATTTTTATATTTTTTGCCCATTATTCTCTATGTTTTATATTTAAGCACCTCATTATTCTTTTTTCTTTTTAGCTTATTCATTTCGTCTTTATTTTTTGGTAATTTTTTTGCAGTATTGATCCATTATTCTCTATTCTATAAACCCCCTCCACCCTCATAGCTGACAATACGAATTTTCAATACAATTATTATAATGTATACAACCAAAACGTCAGAGCAACATTTTAAGTCGTCATTCTACACTTATTTCCAAAAAATATTAAAAATGAAATTCATTTTCCTTTAAAAACTTCATTGTCTGGGCTGCAAACATTAATAACACCGTCTATAGTTAAACCAATTCAATTACATTTGTAGCAAAATAAGCAAATATCGAGCCAAATGAATTGTATTCATAACTTACAATTAGCCAATATCGAACCAAGCAGTTTATATTTATATCACAATTTACAAGTGTCGAGCCAGGCTTTGCTCGGGTCATAACGAAACTTATCTTAAGTTAAGCGCAAAATGTGAGCCAAGAAGCTCGAATGTTAGCCATGGTTGCCTAAAAGGGTACAGGAAAAACAACGGTCTGTTCTTGACCACTCAGGGCCATAAATATTTCTGACTAGATGCAATTTTTATCCAAAAAGGACAACAATATGTGGGGGATGTTGCCTCATTGGCAATCGTACCGCATCTCTTTATTTTTATATGTAATATAAATTCTGGTTTATTTAAGTAAGAGGACATAAGAGGCATAGTTAACGGAATCAAACTGACCTGTACACCTTATAATCAATCCATACACCAAAGGTAGATAACATATTGCTATAGTTTCCAAGAAACAGACCAAAATATAATTTAGAAATTAATAAAAGGGTAACTAATACCAATTTCTAGGATTAAAAACAAAATCCAAGAACTCACAAAGCGTTTTATTGTGTTTGTACCAGCCGATAAAGCAGGCAACAATGTTGTAGTTGTGACGTAAATACTATACGAAGGTCCTTAAGAAAGAAATTATACATTCATCTACATTCAAGGCCGTACACTCGACAAAGTCAAAAAGTAAATAATCATGTCACTACCACAGATCGGGTTAGGGCCTCTTCTGTAATTTGAAAGTGCTTAACATGTAATGGCTTCCTAAGCCTACACAATAACCCGTTCAAATTGCGTTTCATGTTAGCTTCTAGCAAGTGTTATACGACTTATCTGTCTGTGCTGTTAACTAGTTCCCATACTTTTATTAAAGAACTTGTTATTGATTTTTGTAATAAAGCATATGAAAACAATGGAATTTTAACTATTTTTGGAGTGTCAAAAACTCTTTGGATGTGTTGGATAAATTACGTGCTTTTGATGGTCCGTTCGACTCGGTTGACATTTATGATTTTTCGACTCTGTACACTACACTACTACACAATCTTATCAAACAGAAGACCCCTTATTTGATGAAATGGTCCTTTGACTAATCTGGTTATAGATTTATTTGCTGCAACTCATATAATTCTTCATCTGTAATGAAAAAGGGAAATCTGCTAGATATACTTACTGGAACTGTGATGAGATGGTTTAAAGATGTAAAATTTCTTCTTGGAAATATATATGTACGTCCGGCAAGAAAGTTTATCGACAGGTTGTAGTAATTCCTATGGGCACCAATTGCGCCCCTTTAATATCAAATTTGTTCCGGTATTTTGATGAATCACATTTCATGGCCAAACTCAGGAAAGATCCGTCTAAATTACATTTAATTGATAAATTTAAAAAAAACGCTCACCTTTACCTTGATGATATTTTGCTTTAATTATCGGCAAGACTTTTTTAATTTTACTGTAGAAATTTACCCAAAGGCAGTTACTTTACATAAATCTATTACAGACGTATTAATTGTCCTAGATTTGGTTTTCAGTTCCACACGAGAAACTCTATACTAAAATTTATGAAATCTTTAAATATTGTTTTATCGGAACTAACATTGTTAATCGGCACTAACATTGATTTTGATTTTAAAACATGAGTGCATACGCTGAAATGTCTCGCCTGCTTTACTGAACATTGATTTAATGTTGAAAGTCTTAAAGATAAAGGTTTTACTACAAGCATCATATAAACTTTACTTTTTTTTAAAGATCCCTGACAATGAGGTCAAGTTCAAATAAATCCTGTCAGACAGACATGTACACCTTACAATTATTCCATATACCAAATATAGTTGACCTATTGCTTATGGTAACTGAAAACAGATCAAAACACAAAAACTCAAGATTGACTAATAAACCATGAAAATGAGGTCAAGGTCAGATAACTGCCAGACAGACATGTACACCTTACAATTATACCATACACCAAATATAGTTGACCTACTGCTTACAGTATTTGAAAAACAGACCAAAACACAAAAATGTAACATTAACCAATGAACCATGAAAATGAGGTCAAGATCAGATGAAACCTGCCAGACTGACATGTACCCCTTACAATCATTCTAACACCACATATAGTTGATCCACTACTTATAGTATCTGAGAAACGGACCTAATCATGTAACTCTAACCTTGATCTCTGATCCATGAAATGAGGTCGAGGTCGGGTGAACCCTGTCTGACGGACATGAAGACGTTGCAAGGTTCCCATATACCAAATATAGTTGTCCTATTACTTATAATAAATGAGAAATTCACATGACAAAAAAACTATAATTTTGTTTCAAACAGTCTCTGAACCATGCAAATGAGGTCAAGGACAATGGACATAGGACTAACGGAAACTTCGGAAAATAAGGTATCTGCATACAAGGTATGAAGTTTCCAGGTCTTCTACCTTCTGAAATATAAGGCTTTATACAAATAGTATACGCCGACACCGACACCGCCGGATAGTAATACCTTTATCTCGTATACTGCGACTTTCGTCGCAGGCGAGACAAAAATTATAAAAAAAACCTCAATATATATTCCTATATATGTACAATTATGAAAACTCATGATAATACATCCTTTTGCGCATTTTACCAGTAAAACGAAAGGACATTTGCGCTTTAAACTTTGATGCACCTGTATTTGATTGGCAGGACATTTGCGCTTTTACCTATAAAATCTTAATGAGTTGCAATCATTACGCAAATTCAAATTATCTTATATTTGTACACTTCATCAATTTAAATTGGAAAATACATTCCTCTTGTGTTCAATCTATTGTCTGGAAAGTCTGAGGAAATCTATCATCATTGTTTACAAAGAATGTGACAGGGTTAAACAGCGCTCACAAACATGTTTAAACCCTGTCACATTCTGTATGTGCCTGTTCCAAGTTAGGAGCCTATATATATATATATAGTACAGCGGTTGTCGTTTGTTCATGTCGGTCATATTTGTTTTTCATTAATTGTTTTGTTATAAATTAGGCCTTTAATTTTCTCATTTAAATAGTTTCACATTTTTCATGTCAGGGCATTTTATAGCCGACCATACGGTATGTTTTTTTTTCTCATTGTTGAAGGCCGTACGGTGGACTATAATTGCTTACTTTATATATATATATAGCTACCACTTCATTTCAACTCTGATGGATAGTCATCTCATTGGCAATCATACCACATTTCCTCATTTGTATTCAAACAATGAAAACTTAACATTAACCAATGAGCCATCAAAATGGGGTCAAGGTTATGATACATGCTAGACAGACAGGAACATCTTACAATTATTCTGTGCACCAAATACATAGCTGACCTATTGCATATAGTATGCAAGAAGCACTTAACCATGAAAACGTAACATTGACCAATGAACTATGCAAATGATTTCAGGGTCAGATGAACCCTGCCAGACAGACCTGTTCACCTCACAATCATTACATACACCAAATATAGTTAACCTATTGCTTTTGTATCTGAGAATAGGACCAAACTACGGAAACTTAACACTAGTAAATGAACCATGAAAATGTCAAGCACAGATGATACGTCAGCCATGTACACCTAACTATCATTGCATACTTCAAATATAGTTGACCTATTGCTTATAGTATTTGAAAGACAGACAAACACAAAAAAAATCACATTGACCAGTTAACCATGAAAATGAGGTCAAGGTCAGATGAAACATGCCCGATTGACATGCACACCTTACAATTGTTTCATACACCGCATATAGTTGACCTACCACTTATAGTATCCGAGTAACGGAACTAATCACGTATTTTTAACCTTAATCACTAATCCATAAATTGAGGTCGAGGTCAGACATATAAACCTTGCAAGGAACCCGTATACCAAACATAGATATCGTGTTACTCATAATAAGTAAGAAATTCACATAACAAAAAAAAAATATTTTTGAAGCTGT